ACATACATACATACATACATACATACATACATACATACATACATACATACATACATACATACATACATACGCATACACACCTCTATCAGTGACGCATCCACATAGGCTGAGTCCCGTCTCGAGGCGTAGGGGCTGCTGGCGATGGGGTACAGCCTCGAGGAGGAGGAGGGGGAGCCGGAGGGGGAGGAGGAGGGGGAGCCGGAGGGGGAGGAGGACGTGGCGGTAGCGGGTTGCGGGGGTGATGATGACGTGGCGGAGTCAGGTCGGGGTGCGGCCATCAGCCGCAGTCCCACACACTGTCCCGGGAGCTGTATGAGAGGGGGGGCGGGGGGGGGAGATAATGGAGGGTTGGGGAAGCGGAGGTGGGGTGGGCGGGTGGGAGCGGGGTGTATGTGTGTGTATGTGTATGTGTATGTGTATGTGTATGTGGAGGGGGGGTTAAAGAATGAGGTGGCGTGAGGAGCATTTGCTTGCTAGCGGCAGAGGATCGACTACTATCCGGTATAGGACGGAATCATTACAGTGCGAGTGCAAAAGAAGCCATGCATTTCGTCCTGACATGTCGTACAAATACACGTAATTTCGCTCTCGATCCTGTGTCTCTCTCTCATCTCCTCCGACAATGATGTCGTACAACACCCGCCAAGATAAGAAATCTTAAAACCCATCACCCGTGGGGAGGTGTGTGTGTGTGTAAAACCCCCCTTCACGTCCTGGGAGGAGTACGTGGAGGGCGGGGGGAGACCCCACACACCCCTCCCACCCGGCGAAGGCATCTTCTAAACACACACACACACTCTCTCTCTCTTACCCACGCACCTAACAACCCCCCCCCGCCCACACACACACCCATACGCACACTCGTTACCCACCGTGTACGACTCGATCCAGCGGGTCGCGTCCGGCACTCCTTTTACCCTTCTGCCGTACAGCATATCCACATGATCTGCTACAGCCAGATGCAGTACTCGTATACTGTTGTCCAGGGACTGCGAACTGAGCGCACCGAAGCCATGCACGTGTAGCACGGGAGCGGGGCCGGGGGGGAAGGGTGAGGGCACAGCAGGCGTGAAGCTGCACGGTAATTGTCGTCGTACAGTACGACATCAAGAACCCACGCCTGTGGCACACGCTGGACAACGTTGCATGACAAAGATTTAAACCCCCCACGCAAAACCGACAAGGTCAGCAATTACATAAGGCCCCTCCCATAACCGCATATTCAGTTAGCAATGGATCCGCCACAAACACGGCGTACCCGCCACGCTGCCGTTGCAGATGCAAATTGTCTGCCTCCACCACCAACCGTCGCCGTGCATAGCGTCAGACTGGTTTTTAAACGGTTCGCCGGTCCTAGGTCATTAGGGGCCCCCTTTCCTTCCCCATCGTGCATAATCTGTCCCCCTCCTCCCCCCCCGTTGCTAAATCAGCGTTGCGTCGAACCTTCCCGGTACTTACTCATTCCGTACGACAGTCGCGGTGCCCCACTTGACACCCTGCACCGCAAGCAGCAGGTGCGTTTGGTGGTGAGGTGTCGTTCAATCAGCCGTTCTAGCCGTTAGCGTCCACCGTAATCGTCATCTGTTCTGTCCTATGAAGATTGTTTGTTCTGTGATTAAAGTAGGGGTTCCCGATGGCAGCTGGCATCCTTTTTTACCCGCACACCGGGCTTTCATTATGATGGAATAGGTTTGCAGAGTGCATTATCGGTGGAAGAGCACAAAGTCCGTGAACTTCGCCAGGGGAAAGTGGCACCCTCCGCAGAGCCATGGCCATGGCTGCTCCCAAGCACCTGCGCTTACCCCAGCCCTCAGGTCCTTCACAGACGCGATAACGTTTGGACCGAGCTTTGTTTCATGGTAATCCATATCGTCCTGTGAGCTTCCTCGTCCGACACCACGGTTCGTTGTTGCGTCAGCCTTGCAGGGGCGAGCTAAGATCGCCCCGGCGCGGAGACAGTGAGCCAGTCCCAAGCCCGTACCTAGCGCTCTTGGAGCAATACGCCTTTGCGTACAGGCACCAGTACGTTGGACATTTTTTCCTAACACGCTGCTGCTCATCCTTTTGCTCCTATTCTACGGAACGCGAATTCCGGAAAGTCTCTGGGTCCCTATCCTTCTTGGCTCAATGTCCAGCAAGTACGCTTGGCTATCAATGTAGATCAGTCTAGATAAGGGAATCAGTAAGGGAACACCATTTGAGGAGCATTCCGACGGGCCGTACCATGCGCGAAATCTCAACGGCCGGAACATCCGGAATGCTCAGAAGAAGAATCCCTTACAGCTACAAGTGTTACCTGGTATAAGCATTTGCATATTCATGTTTATAACAGTTGACGGAAACCCTACACACAAGTGAGAGAGTTGTGTCCAGGAAGGCTCTCTTAATTCCAGACTAATTAACCCAATATGGCTAGTAAATTTCACCTGGCTGACTTAGCTTTCCAGGCTACGCGTCCGCTGTTAAAGGTGCGCTAAAACCTGGAGACTCACGTGGTCATTATGACAGAAGACAGGCAATCAATGCAATCCTTAAAGATCATACACATACTCCATTTCTACAGGTCCCGCGGGCGGAAGTCATCGGCGCCTGGAGCTCCCGAATCGAAGAGCTTGTCCGCTCGTCTGCGGCAGGTGGTGGCATATTGGTCCGTGGCTTTTCTACCGGCACAGTACCCACTTCTGGTCATAAATCAGGCGTAGGCGGGAATGGCAACGCCGCTAGCAACAACAACAACACCGACAGCAGCAGTAACAACAGCAGCAACAGCAGCAGCCACAGGAGGCCCAAAACTGCGTTCCGTGAGGACGACCATGCCACAGCCGAAACGCGAGCTGAAGAGTACGCCGACGACGACGAGTACGACGAAGAGCAACGTAATTCCCAACGTGACCGAGACCGCGCACTCGGGCGAATCCTGCGCTCCTCCAACGCCGCCGAGGTGGGTGTGAACAGCGACACAAGAAGACAGGCCCACCCACTTAGGGTTTAGGGAGCGCAGGGTGGTGCGCCGGGCGATAGGTGAATGATATGATGAAGTCTTCGGAGCACCTCCTGCCATCAACATTAGATTGATTAACCGAATAAGGCCCAAGAGAGAAGAAAGAAAGACCTCTTGTCTCTAATCCTACTACTTGTCGAGGACTGTTTGCCCCACGTCCCCCTCTCACCCGCAGCAGCTTCATTCGTTCATGGTTCGTCTTCGTCCCCCCCGCACCCGCCCGACTTGTCTCTCCCCCCCTTCCTGCACGTCCCCCCTTACTGACGTCGCATTGCTGTAGCTCTCTGCCGTACATTTCTTCCGGGGCTACAGCCAAGCACTGCACGGCCGAGTGGATGCACAGTTCTTTGAGGCACAGGAGGTGGAAGCGGCGGAGGGTGTACGACAGCTACTGCCGAAGTACCGCGTCAGACCTTCGTTAGTCCAGGTGGATACGTACATACATACATGCATATATACATACGTATACCACTATCTGTATGCGTGCGTGTGTGTGTCTGTGTGTCTGTGAAGGCTGGGGGCCTGGGGGGATGGGTTTGGGGGATGGTGTTGTGTGTGTGTTTGGGGGGGCCGTGCGCATGCATGTGGTCGCGCGTATGTGTATAGACACTTCCCGTACACTCACTGCCCACGAAGCCGCTGCCAGGTACGGGAGCCCGATATGAGACCTAGCTGGTTGCTCAAGGACTTCCAGCTACTGCACTTGCAAAAAAAAATAAAAAAATGACGCAACCAGACAACTAACAACAAAACATGAAGATAATAAAAAAGGAGAAGGAAAGCGAAGAAACGAAAACAGATATGACGAAGGCCACCGAATGAAAGTAAGACCTAAGGGGGGAACTCAAAGAGGGAAGGGAAGAACGGGAACCATTGCATGGAGGTGGCTGGGGCCCATCAAATGTCAAACTTTCAAAATTTCAAATTTTCAAATTTCAAATACGGTTTCAACATCGCTTTGTAGCAAACATCGCGCCGGATTCCTCAACCCTCCCGTACGGCACTCAGGGCCCGTTGAGTTTGGTGAGTGTAGCGCTTGGCGCGGTGGCGGCGGCCGCTCCCCAGCAGCTGGGATTGGCGGTTGTGGGGGCGGTTGGCGACGCGCTTTCGGAACATTACAACGAACAACTGCGGCAACTGAATGAAGCGGGAGCGGCCCAGGAGGTGGGTGAAGTGGTGGGATAGTGTGTGTGGGAGGGTGGCCTGTCCTGAGCAGTTGTCAGTTTTCAGTTATGGGTTGGGTTTTGGTTGTGTGACTTTGGGGCGCTGGCCCGGGGGTACTGGCTGGGGAGGGGGCGGGGCCGGGGCAGGTGCGGCGGGGTGGACGGGAAAATCCTATGTGTGTGCGGCTTTTGGGCCTAGCGCACATACATACATACATACGTGCATACTTACACACCTACTATACATACTTACACACACCCGTCGGCTTTAAAAATGCCTCGTCGCAGCTCAGATCATCCACAATGCATACGTGATGCAATGCTATGGCACTGTGTTGGGCTGTCCAATCTGTACGGTGAGGTTTGCACCATTCACAGCCCGACGTAAACCCTTGAAATGTGGCATCGCTCTTCCCCTGCTAATACATCTCTCCCGTGTGTACGATTTACCCCCAAACGTGCATGTTGTCGTACCACGTGTTGTACACAGGCGCCAGATGTACGGCACACCCTGCGTTCCCTGCGTGACCTGGCACGTATACCCGAGGGTGCCCCGCCGGCGCCGGATCTGATTTCCGTACTCCAGGAGGGGGTGGCGGCGGCGGCGGCCAGCAGCAGCGGCAGCGGCGGGGCGCCCGCCGCGGCTGCATCATCTCTACTGTCGGGCATGGCGGCGGCTGCCCGAGAGTGGGGTCTTGAGGGCACTGCAGGGGCGCTTGTGAAGGCGGGGGCGCGTGTGGCGCTGCAGGCGGCGGCACGGTATTGACATACAGACTGGGTGTGGCGGGGCTTTCCAAACGGTTACTTCGCCTCGGATTGCTTCGTGTGGCGGTGTGTGTGTGTGCCTGTGTGTATGCCCGTGTGCCCTGTGTGTTCGTGTTTTGTCTGCGCCATGGTTTCCCCCATCCCCTTCCCTTCTCGCCCGACGGACTGCAAGGGTATGCAGCCAAACATAATCAATCGTAAAAAGGCTAGACGACAGGCGGGTGTGCTGCGTGTGCTCATACCACGTCTGTTGTGCAAGTACGTGCCGCTGCATGCAAGCCACGGGGAATGACGAGACTGCATGTATCAGGTCAGGGTCGGGGGGCTGGAGGAGTTTGGATTGTGTGTTGTGGGGGTTGGGGGTTTGGAGAGTTGGGAGGGAGAGTTTTCTTCGTGTTTATCTAGTAGGTCATCTCTTGGGGTAAGGCTGTGGGAAGAGGAGAAAGTGTGGGTGTGAGGACTTGAACCCGAGACTTATAAGGCTTTGTGTCAGCATTACGGTGTCCTAGTCTGCATGTCAGCGGTAAACAGATAGGAGTATAAACGTGCTATGCAGCAGCACACCTACTAAGCTTGTGGCCCATGCTTACCATGCAGGATACCGTGTGAAAGGGCGCCTCATCACGTACATCACAGCTTCAAAAGATGTGAGGCCGCGCAGCTTCAAACGCAAAGCCTGCGGAGAGGAGACCCTGCACAAGTACGGATGAAACGGTTAAATATGCCGATTCCAACGACTAACGGTTGCATTTGAGCGTGAACAGCAGTTTAACCCCTAAGCTTGCGGCCCAGACTTACCGTGCAGGATACCGTGCTAAGGCGCCTCACGTACGTCGCAGCCTCGTTAGACCTGAGGCCGCGCACTCCTGCAGAGCTTCAAACGCAAAGCCTGCGGAGAGGAGACCCTGCACAAGTACGGATGAAACGGTTAAATATGTGAGACTCCAACAATTAACGGTTGTGTTTACACACATGTAGAAGCACACACCCTA